CACAGTGCCAGCATACAGAATTGTATCTGATTCAGTTAGGGGGGGAACTCCCACTGAGATGTGCGCGGGTGACTGAATTTGTCCCAGATTCAAGCTATAAACCGCTTGTAAAAACCTTAGCGTGGCCAGTTTTTCAATTGCTGTTAATAGGGGCACAAGGAGGGGCAGCAACACCATTTTTGAAAGGAAGTGCTCCTCCCTGTGCGAGTGCAGGCAGATCTTCGGTGGCTAATGGACACTCCTCTGGCCAATGGATACTGCCTTGCCACCGTATGATCTGCTTGGAGATTAAGCAGAACGTACTGCACCTGCTCAAAACCTGTAATGTATTGTGCATAGCACTTCGGCATCTCATATAAGATTGTATAAGGTTAACATCCCTTGTTGTAGTTTTGAAATGTTATGACGGAAAAGATGTCCTCTGCAACAGGCAAAATTTTAATGCAACGTTGACCAAACAGCCAACGAAAACCGTGAAAAATCAGGGTTTCGTGCAAACTCAATACATTTAGTCTGATCCTGACCTCTTTCCTCAAGACCTCAATGAGAAGTGGCCAGCAGGCAGATTTGCATTTTTCATGAATAAAAAAGACAAAAAATCTAACAAATACTCTGAATACACATGTCGGTCTTCGAAAATGTGATAGCACTCAGCTAACGTTAACCTTTACATGTAAATGGTTGGGCTAGCCAAATTAGCATTTCATAGTGCTCTTTTACTATGTGCATTTTGATCAATAAAATTCTCATATCAACAAAATTTTGCTAAAACCACGACATTGTTTAAAAAATTATAAAACTTTACGTTATCAAGATACACGTAAATATGCAAAATAACCTGGCATATCGATATATATCAAGGGCAGATTATTATGACACATAACACGTGGATTTTTAAATTATAACTCTCGTGGTAATGAAATATGAATTTTCAACTCCAACTGGTACATTTCAAAACAGCACCAACATCACATAACCTGTATGTAAAGTATTAAGGCAATGTCATTGACGCAAATTAAATACCATCTGCGTAATCAAAACAAAAACAAGAGTGGTTGCACCCCTCCCCCTATCAAATCGACGTATAACATCCCTATTCTTCGTGTACATCATTTGTCATAAATCTCTTCAAATAGATAGAAATATTCTTACCAAAAATAGGAATCATAAATTAGGTCCTTTACTTGACTAGTTTGGTTAAAAATTGATTGAAAATATGTGTAAATTCTGTTCCTACCTCACTGTACCCTCCCACCCTCCAGAGCTAGGATGCTATTTGTAAGAGATATTTTGATTGGTTACCTGAGACTATGGTAGCCAATCAAACGAGGTTTTCTAGAATTGATGATGACGTTGTGTTATTTCCGGTCAACGGCTCCTCCTCTTCCGGCTTGAACTTTCAGGAAGTTGGAAAGGTTTAAAGTACGAATCTGAAAGCATCAAATGAATTGAAGTTTCCCCTCCTGTGAATCTTTAAGAAAAATGGCCGAGTCACCAGAAGATTTGAAGAAGACTTTGTCAGGTATGTGTGAGATATAACGGATTTTGACCTAACTTTCATTTGGTTTCTACTTTATTGAATATTTCGACTCCTAACTTTATTCCACATTTTACTTCCGGGTTTGTGATTTTATTTTGGTTGAAGAAAATTGACAATTTTTCACTATTCACGCCATGAAGATCGGTGTTTTTCTTGTCATCCTGTCCTTTGGATGTTTCGGAATGTTGAAATAGAGACACCTTTGCTGTTAGGGCGCAGTGTCTGAAGAAAAATATCTGAAAGAAATTAGAAATGGACCAGGAAGTTAGTATGATATTTTTTGTTAGAAATTGGGAGGCGAGAAAGTGGTGGACTGGGAAAATTACACTGTGAGGGAGAGAAACAAGTAGGTTGTCCGAGAAAAAAAAAACATGAATGGCTGGAGATTCACAAAACACTTGCCTGGACAATGGCATGAATAAAGTTTCAAACGTGAATGTAATAATTACAATGCAATAATATGGCTCATCAGCCGATAGTATTACGACACAACCTGTACTTTTATCACAATACTTATGATCTAAAACTATCTTTGCAGAGGTGGAGCAATTTCTGGAAGGGTTGGGCAAGGAGAAATTGGGTAAGGATGCAAAGAAGAAGAGAGAAGACATCTTGAACAAACTGAAAGAGAAACTTCAGGAGAAAGGCAGTGATGAAGACTCAGGTAGGTTTCTGTGGCAGGCAGGAATATCTGAAGGTGTTCTTGTGGTCAGGGTCATTGACTAATAGAACCTGAAGGTTCTGGGTTCAAATCCCTAGCAGACTAGTGTTATGCTCTTAGGAAAGACACTTTACACCTTTTTCCTTACTTGGCTCAGTGAAAATGCATCTACCTGGTTTTGGTTAGAAATATCCTCCTAGGTGGGAGCTGAAGCTAAAGTTCCTGTTTTGGAGGAGAGCCGAATATCTGCAGAAATGGTTATTAAAAAATATGGACAATAGTTTTTTGGCAAAGTTATCACAGAAGAATTTCAATTGAAGAACAAATTTGACTATCTAGAACACCATTATATTGCATTTGGTTGATGTTTGCCAGTAAACTATATTTCATGTTTATGGACTGGAAATACCATCACCCCCTCAACTCCAATCTTCTTCTTCTTCATCATCCTAGTGCCAAACCTTATTAAGTTGAGGGCTCAACTTAATGAGGGCTCAATCTTACCAGCAAACCTGAATATGACGGTGGTGATGCACAACAAAAAGCTGCAATACACAACATTGCCTCTAGGAGGCATGCCTGTACCACAAGAGTACAAGAGTGATTTATTGTTCACTGTTCAGCATTGTATTGTGAGTTATTAATGAAAAAGAATACAGCATTCAATGTGTCTTCCTTTTGAAGAAAAAAATTGATCATCCAAAATTCTCCCATTAATTTAGGAGATGTTTATGAGCAGACCCAAGAAGAGGAAACTTACGAGGATGTCAATACTCTGAAGGGAGACAGGAGTCAGTCAGTCTCATCACTCACAGAAGCACCATATGGAGATGGTGAGTGTCAAAACTTATTTAGGACACAGCATTAGGAGTCATTTTGTTTGTTCAATACTATCAGACAGCTGTGCTTGGATGATGGACATTAAACCAATATGCAAGTCTTTGACAGAAGAGTACATTAAAGTCTCTTTTGATATGTGATGACAGCCTGTTTTATTTTCCAGTGGATGACACAATCCCAATAATACCAGCACCAAACCTCCTTGAACCTGATTTTGCTGCTTACATGGAGAAAAAAAGGAAAGGTGTGTTTGTCTTATCTTATCTAATCTAATCTAAATACTTACAGTAACTTCAGATCTTATCTAAAATGCCAAAAAAATGAAGGTTTAAGAACCTTTAATTCAATTGTATACTAGTACCAGGTAACTACAACAATGTAAAATATATATATTCTTTATAAGAAAAATTTATTTTCCTCCTCATACAGAGGGACCACTGAAGCTGTCTGCCTGGCAACGTCGCTGGGTGGTCATTAAAGACAACATCATGTTCTACTATGAGAAGCACACAGACAAGAAACAGAGAGGTAACATTTTTTTTTA